AAATGACCTGTTAACATTAAATGCTCCCCCCCTGGTCTTTCTAGCCATTTAAAATTGTGACATGTACTTATAAATAGCATTTATGAAAATTATAATGAGAGTTCCAGGGTTCCTATACTGTAGAATTATAGATAATATATATTCAGGTAGTAAGAGGCATTCAGACGTGAACCGTCTCTCTTCAAATGATGTTACTACTGAAAGTGATAATGTTTCATATCATTTGTTGTTATCGCAACTGAGAATGTCTAGATATTTCTCTAAAACTGCTTTAAAAAAATTGCAATTTACTATACTAATTGTATGTTTCTGTGCATGATCTCCCACGAACAACTCTTGTAGAAATTAGTTAATTATCATGAAATTCCTTTGCAAGTTTATTCCACTCGCAATCTTGTTTGCCGTATTTTCAAAATCATACTTTCACATATACGAACGTGGCAGACGTGTGAACTTCTGAGTAGAGAACAGTATTAGAGCTATGTAAATTTTATGTTCTTGAAATTCTGTATGTCGATGAATCTTTAAATTTGTAGTTAAATGCATTCATATACAATAATAGGTACAATTAATGCAAAATTAACATGCCTAATAATCGGGATGTAACCACGATACAGTAAGAGGCACCTCCATACTGCCGCACTTACATTTGTCCGTACAAAAGCCTTTGAACAGAAATTCCTTCCCCAGTATACGGAACGTGTGTCATTAAAAGTTACGTTAAAAGTTCCGAACGTATAAGATGAGATTTAACCATTTCGAAATAAGTGTTCAAAGTCATTCATGTTTCATTTCACTTCTTGTGCCATAAGCAGCTGTTCAGGTCATCAGGTAGATCTTCTAATGGCGAACAGTGATTATAATTTTGCCATCAGTAATGCTTGTTGTGCATGGAGCAACAGTGGCGGCACCTGTATTTCGAATTAGTCATCCGAGCAACCAAAGCTGAATGCTTGTTGTGCATGGAGCAACAGTGGTGGCACCTGTATTTTGAATTAGTCATCCGAGCAACCAAAGCAGTCTCAAAAAATATATATATAGAAGCAACAGCAAGTTCTGTATTTGTACAACCAGATGAATCACAAAAAAGGTGACGAGAAAAAGTTGCGAGTGCGTCGTATACTGTAAGGACCACATTCCTTGCTAACATTCCTGGTGCTATGTAAGGTTTTCACGGCAGTGAGTCTGAAGATCTGGGTTGTTGTGCCATGTAGTCTGAAACGTCTACCAGACTACATGGCGCAACAACCCAGAAGACAGCCATCGATTCCTAGTGCTGCGCTCAGCACAGCCTGATCAGTGCGTGGAATGGACATGTGGCGTGATCTGTTTAAAAATAATCGACTCTGTTGTCAGTTGTGTTAGTGTAGGGCTGCACGATAGAGAGAATTTTGGGTGGAGGTAGGAAAAACTATTGGTGAATGTTTGGCGGTAAACATATTTATTGTGGAACCATTATCAGGGCAGGAATGTGACAGGCAATTTTTTACTTATATAAATATAAGATGGTAAAGTTGCGTCATATTGTGATATAATAAGTATATATTAAATCTTGTCCGTCTAATCACAATAATTCTTATTAAATATTAAAATATTACAATAATTAACATTTAAAATATTAAATGATGTTCTTTATCGAATATTTCGATAAAGAACATCATTTAATCAATATTTTAAATGTTAATTATTGTAATATTTTAATATTTAATAAGAATTATTGTGATTAGACGGACAAGATTTAATATATACTTATATAAATATTTCAACACGTTTACAGAAATCGAATAATTCATATATTATTCTAGGAATGTCTGTAATATACAGTTTGTTAACCCTTACAATAAAGTTTCGGCCACATATTGCAATTTTAAAGGAGGTAATGTTTTTTTGGAACAGATAGAGAAAGCGTGGAGGTACGTGTGCGACGCTTAACAAATTGCATTTCACCACGTGTTAAAAGAGTTTGCAAGTAATCCGGTCCCTCAGAGCAGATCTAAACAGTATTTAAAAGTCAGTTCCCGTCTCAGAACAATGAATGCGAAAGGAAAAACATAAGTACGGAACAGACTGCGGTCACCCTGCTGTTTTTAGAAGTTTTCTGTTGTGTAATGCTGTTTCATTCGTAGTATGGCGAGGTGGTTGCAAGGAAAGTGTCTCGTTCAAACCTGTGGCTGAACTGTGTAGAATGCGTGTGTAATGGGTCTCGCCACCATTGCTCTATGTGTATTTCACATTTTCTGATTCACGTTGGTAAAACAGTAGGACCAATTCCCTAGCTATCTCGCATCATACAGCATAAATAAAAATCTACAAATTAACCTTTATTGTACGTGGGATCACAATTTAAGCCAAAGTACTATGGGGGCTCCCTTCCTGTATTTAACCCGAGGTTTAATAGTGTAACATGGACTTCATGTAAGAATCAATGCATGGTTGATAAAGGTCCGTGACCCGTGATCAATAACGGTTAATTCAGTTACATTTGAATATATTTGTTTACAATAAAAATGTATTCCTGACGTAGTATTCAAATCAGAGACGTCTCTCTCTGATTTTAACACTGCATAAAGTCTTAAAGAAACATAGTTGCTAGTTGTAAAAGTAGTCATTCTCCCAGTTGTAATTATATATATATATGAAATATATTTGATTGTGTGTATGTGCACATATATTTGTATGTGCATGCATGTGCGTGTTACGCTATAGCAGTATCACAAGCGACTGACTGCAAAGACACGTCACACTTCTATCACACGCAGATTGTGGTATGGATTATGATGCCATGTAGTCTCGCACCCCAGAAGACCCACACAGCCCACATTTTACGATCTTGAATCTCATACAAGCGTCACAATACGTGAAACCGTGATGAAACCAAATATAAGTGGCACCATGAAAACATTTCACTGTAGCAGTATTATGCGAGTAGGATTCGTGCTTACGCCATTTATATTTTCTCTCTCCCCTCCCTGTTACCAGTCACATGATTACCATTAGTCAGGTGAAATATTATTTGTGGTACTGCTATAGCTATAATTTGATTGGCATAAATTAATTCATAGGCTAATAGCAGTCTTGTTATAGAAATACTATAGTTAGGTAGCTTGCTAAGAGCACTTGCATTTTGTTAGTTCTGTTAATGACAGCAAGAATTCTCTTACATTTTATCATGTTTCATAGGATTATCATAGTATTAAAGGATCAAATATACAGTTTCTAGTACTTGAAGTAGGCCTGTGAAAAGTTTAAGAAATATCGGTGCCATTGACCGTTCTCATACGCACTCAAATGGGTATATCGGTTTCTCTTGAGCTCACCTCCGAACTGTGAGTCTTCTGTACATCCCCCAAATGTCTTGATTTCACCACAACCTTCAAAACAGTTTTTGAGGTTCACTAATTATTGGCCATAATTTATAATCAATATCTCCTGTATACCTCAATTGAGAGTAGCTCAGACACAGGAATAACTTTCTATTTTTACATTGTGTCGTTGCCATCAACACTGACACATCTCATTCTGAACATCTTTGTGATACTAGTGGGAATGTCTTGTCAGAATCTGTAAAGGATCTCAGTCCAACATTTTCAGATCTGTGGTAATAAGAATGATACAGTGAAATAACACTAGAAAAATTGTGGTATAAAACAGAAGCCTTAATGCCAGTTAACAAATGTTCAAGTTTGCTGACATTACAGTAACTATGTTTACAAGTTTCCAGTTTCTCTCTGTAATGACCTTGAGAAAGTTAAACTGGGTACAGTGACTAGGCTATGGGTTGGATTACCAGGTCTTTATTTCTGGCAGGAGTTATTTTCAACCATGACATACAAGAAGTAGATCTCGTGGGAAAAGACTAAGTGATAATGATGCACATGACCAGTTAAATGCTTCAGATGGAATGATGAGATGCTTCACAAAGATACAAAATTCCCTGGTAAGAATCAGGCAGACCGTAGTGGACCTTCCACTTTTTTTTTTGGGGGGGGGGGGGGATTTCCTTATAAAGAAAATGGAAGTACAAAATATAGGGGGGGGGGGATTTTCTTATAAAGAAAATGGAAGTACAACATATGATTTTACTGTTTTTTGAAACTTATTCTGCACTTAAGAGGTAGAATTAATGAAACGGTTATCTCTAAGATGTTCTTTAGTAGCATTATCCATAAGTCAGAAATACAAAGAGGAGCTGGTTTCTCCTCTCCTAAGCTGGAGGCAATGTTGCACAGCAGGAACATTGATTTATATGTTAAAGGGAAACAGTCTGATTCTCAGCTGGGGTATGAGTTATCTTGGTAGTGTCTGTTTATGGTGCTTGTAAGTTTCTCCAGGTGAATGCTGGGACAATACCTTGATATATACCTCAACTGTCACCATTAAAATCTTCCTACTCACTGTCTTTCTTACTTGTTTGACAGTATTCAAATAATCCTTGAAGTTTGTGCTGTTCAATCTGTTGTTCCAGAGTTAACCAGCCTTGTTCCCCATGTTAAAACACTTCAGACATCTCCAATATAAGCCAATTTGATTTTACTACAAATAAGGTAGTTACATTTTAGATAATTAAATTACAGAAATAATGTAAAATAAAAGCTGACTTAAGCACTGTACTTAAGAGGGAATCAAGAGAGAATCACGAAATATTTGTAGTCCTTGGATAGAAAACAGGAATCAAGAGAGAATTATGAAATAATATTTGTGGTCTTTGGATAAAAAATAAGTGCCAACATATTGTTCTGAATAAACAATAACAGTTCTTGAAATCCACTGTCTGTTATTGAAAGTGTGTAATTCTCCACAGAAATTTCCAGAAGCTATCAATATTCCTTAGCTGATCCTTATTTTTGTATGATGCACTATTCTAAGCATTTACATATGTAATAGTCAACTTTGTGGCACATAATATAGGTGATTGTTTAGCTACAACGTGTTTCAGGAATGACCTCAGGCCACTGTTACACAGTTACAATATTAAAACCTAAGTTCCTATTTTTGAGCAACAATGTATCCTGTTCATGGGAGATGTCTACCTCTTAGGAAAACATGACTGGCATGGGAAGACCCATGAAACTCAAAGAGACCAGGTATCCTGACTATGAGTTTTTGTAATTTTCTTCAGTCCCTCTGGTCAAATGCAAGGATTGTGCCTATTAGGCTATGACAGCTTCTTTCCATATCATTTCCAATTTATTGTTCATTAATCACCAATTGCTGTTTAGGTTGGGAAAGCGCGGTCAGATCCTCGGCAGGGGAGTCCAGACCAGATATTGCACCCAGCCAGCTATTCACTCACTTCCATCTAGTATCGAGGTTAAGAAAGTGATGTGCAGACGTCTTCATGGCCTAGTGCTTAGTTAAACTCCAGGGACGACTTTACTTTGCATTTGATATCAGTTGTTGTATAGTCTGCGCTACTAATAGCGTCGTCACCTAAATGATAGAATAAACTGCAATTATTTCCCTAACCAACTACAACGAATTCATCTTTGCAACAGATAAGCGTTGTGTTTTTTGTACAGTAGGTCATGAATTTTTAGAATACTTCATGCTTCAAAGGATCTGCACCATAGCTTTCAAATATATTTTGGTATGGGGATTAAAAAAAAATAATTGGGTACAGAAGAAAACTTTACTGTGCTGATTTTCTTTTGCACAGTAAATAAAGAATCACAACTGTTTACACAAGTTAACCAATATTTTTGGTTTTGATGAAAATACTTTTATAACAAGAAATTTACCGATTCAGTTTTGGATCATCTATGGTTGCATGGAATACAATCCGAAAGCCGTAATCCTCATACAAGAGCACGCATGTGGTAAGGGGAACGAAAAATGGCGACGGCGGTAGTTAAATGTCGCACTGCTGTGATAGTAAGATTTAAAAATATTACTGGTGTTCTGGGTTACCTGAAGGTAAGAGATTCTTATAGTGACTGTGTAGACTATAAATTCTGGCAGGACTCTGCCACTCTTTGAATATATGCCTATTAATCATGTTTCAAATCTCATATTATTCTGAAAATATTAATACTCTTATTTTAATGTAGGCCATATTATGTCATGTTGTAATTTTATGGTTCTTTGAACTAGACTAAAGTTCTTTAAACCTCAGTTACATAAACTTGGTAGAGGGGGCCATTGCATGAAACGCGCTACCGGTACAATGACTTAACCTACCATTGAAGACATCACATATTTAACTTATCAGCAATGACAGTAATTCGTACGTCATGTGGTGATGACAACGAACTTTACGTTCAAGTGTGGAGTACTGTGAGAATCAAAATTCGTGTTCTTAAAATTTTGATTTGTTACTGGAATAGAGGTTGTGGGAAAAAGTGAAAACTAATTGCTCACAAACTATCGTTCCCATCAATATTTTTAGTAACACGAGTTACATTAACATAATCTAGCCAAAAGTTATAACTGTGATTACGCATTCTTTAAAGGTATGCATTAATTGTAATTGCACAGTTCATAAAAACATACAGATTATGATTACATAATTCAACTGACCAAAGAGGTATATGAAAACTGATGTAGTTAGAATATCTGTTACTGATGTATTATGTTGTTTGGCTGTTAATCTTTCTCCAAATTTATAACTTTGACTTTTTCCCTTGTATAGTTTAAGTTTCATGTCCTTATTATATCCAGGACAAGCTGGGATAGCTGAGTCAGTATAGTGACTGGCTACGGACTGGACGACCGGGGTTCGATCTCCAACAGGGAAGAGGATTTTTCTTACAGCCTCTGTGTTCAGGCTGACCTCCTGTCCTTTCCTCAGGTGTAAAGCATGGCCAGGGCATGATGCTGACCACTCACCCTGATCTAATGCTGAGTAGGTGCTATGTCACCTCTCCCTCAAGTGCCTACATGATGTATAGTGGGATAGCTTTTAGCTTTAGCTTTTATTACATTCAGGACACTCTTGTCTTTGACACTGTTCTGGTGTTTGAAAATATTCTCTTAACTCAAGTCTTGGTCCCTTCGGTATAAATTCATTAAATCATAAATCCTTGCCTTCTTAATAACATTGAACTGACAGAAGCTGCTCCATTACCCAAGAATGCTTGTCCTTAGATTTTCCTGGTGATATAGTTGAGGGACTGAGTGGAATACAACATTATATGGGAGGGGGGCCCCTTAAAATGTCCCTTTCCCCATGGCCTTAGTGTGGTGCAACTGTAGACATCTGTCAGTAAATAATGTAACTAAAATTGAAAACACTGTGTGAGTAAAATTAACATACATAAATATTATTTGATACACTCTGGCTTATGTTAGAGAAGGTTATGAGGTAGAATATTATATTTTCTCTTTTTTTTAAATTCTTTGTCATACGTAGGACTCTTTCACAATTTACGTGACTTGTTCGTGTAAAAGTAATTTACATTGGTTTAATTTTCTTGCAGTGTGATGGCATTGTTAAGTCTGAGCCCATAAGATACCATCATGTCGCCTCAGATACTTGGAGAAACTGTGTTAGACGAATGCAGTATAGGAAAAGTTTCATCACATGCAGTAGAGGCAATCAGAGAGGCTTACTAGGAATTGCAGTTGCACGGTCAGTTAGCACAGTGGTAGCCCATGATGACCACGGTCACATTTCAAAGTTTTCTGAAAGCGATGGCTCTACTGTGAAGTCAGTAGTAAGTGAAGGCCCCAGATCAAGTCTTGTACCAGCTGAAGGTACTACCTCAAGTTCTGTAGTAGGGGAGATAGTTCCTCCTGCACCTTCGCTAGAACAGGTACGAGTACCGCCTGAAGTTGTAGCCAGTGAAACAGTGGCTCCACTGGGTAACATACCAGACCCACCTACTGTACCACTGGAAGTAGAATTAGCTGAGACTTTGCCATTATCAGGGGAACCGTCATTCGCTAGTCTTGGACTGGGAGGATGGTCTCCTGTTGGGATTGTACAGAACTGTATGGAGTATCTGCACATCGGTTGTGATCTACCATGGTGGATTTCCATTGTCATAGGTAATTCAGAATTGTAGTAATAAGATTACTTTTGTAATGTTTAAACGCCCGTTGTTATTATTACGTTGTTCGGAAATTTCGGTATTTGAGAAGAATGACTTTTTTTTTTCATTTTTCTGATCACGGTGCTTGTGTTAAATTTCTTTGTATTGTTTCCTTTGAGGATGTTTTCATAACTGTACCTTTTAATCTCTTGTGAGATATGACGTTTTCACAGCAGTGAGGATGTTGTTCTGAGTTTCGGTGCCATGTTGTCTTGGTAGACGTTATTATTCGTGTTTTTTCCGTCTAGTCACAATTGTATATAATTAAAATTATACATAAGATATTAAAATATCATTTACATATTTTGGTACATCTTTTTACTACATGTTTCGGTTACATTGAACCATCTTCAGGTGTAAAGTTAAAAGTTAAAAATTATAATCTTATAAACTAAAACTTAATTACTGTTGTTGTGTAACTTCTGATGATGTTTACTTCCAAATTCATTGGAGTGAGGGTATATTTTGAAGTGATAGTGGTTTAACATTGGCCTGTAACGTAAATAATTTAAAATATTTTTAATTATTACTGAACTTGAAAGAACGAGTATAGAAGACAAAATGTAATAAGGTAAAAATGGTAGACGTTTTATTCGCAAGTAAAGTTATAAATATAATTCATAAACACCATTTACATCTTGACACTATGGTATGTTAACCCTGCGTGTTATGGAAGAGTAATTTATTTATTTATTACAAAGAATAAATGGAGAACACATTGTTTATTTACATACGATGTTTGATTTACAGGGACAGCTGTGGTAAGAATATTGATATTTCCAATAGTTATTATGTCACAGAGAAATTCAGCAAAAATGAGTAACAATCTCCCACAGCTGCAGGTTCTACAACTAAAAATGACTGAAGCCAGACAAACAGGGAACCAGTTGGAAGGTAAGTTGTAATTTTCTGTGAGTCCTCAAGAGTGAATTTAACTGTGTGTGTATGTAACACAATGCGTCCAGAATTCTTTTAAACTTTTTGCAGTACAGTGAAGTGAAGATTTTGTTCATTCTTGTACGTGAGATGCGAGAGAGCAGACCTGTAGCCTTCAGGCCAAATGTGGTTTTACTTGTGCAAGAGCATCTGTTCATAATTGTAAACATAGAACATGAAAATGTTCTCTCTTCTTAGGTTGGATTTCAGGTTCTCATAGCAGCAAATCTGAAGATGAGGGTCTTCTGGGATATTATGACATGTAGTCAAGTAGAAGTTTACCAACATTTCTAAGGGGCTTACTGTCTCCATCATCTCAACAGTGATGAAGGTAGAGGCACTCATTACCGTGATGATGAAAGCAGTGAGCACCTTAGAAATATTGGTGAACTTTTACCAGTCTACATGGCACAGCATCCCAGAAGACAGTTACCTTAATCTTTGCCTGTCTCTGTTTAACGCTTATTCGTATTTGGCTTTGTTCTTGTGTCTTATTAAGTTCTTAGTATGAAAAATGAGGTTTGAGGTTCTTGCGGCTGTAAAGATGTCATCGTTGGTTTTCTGGGTTGTAATGCTCTGACGATGGAGGCAATATGTTCGTCTGAAACGTTGGTATCTATCTAGAAGTCCACATGATGTTACAACCCAGAAGACCAGCATCTGTTCTTTGTGTAAATGTTTTTATATAAAATTATTCTTGTGGTTTAATCTACAGTAATGGTTCTCTAGGTACGAAGTCCTCTCTCGCATCTTACATGCTTTGCAATGCTTATTCAATGATTACTTTATTTCTCAGCGGCACGTTATGCTCAAGAGCTGTCATCATTTATGAAGGAGAAAGATCTCAATCCATTCAAAAATATAGTTGTACCTCTGGCACAGGTATGTATGGTGCGGGTATCTGCTTATATCAGTTTTAGTTGGCGTGTTTTATGCTACAGATAGTCGAAGAACTGTTAGGGTGTAATGTGTAAAATTGTTCTTTTGGGATTGTCAGTCATCTAATTTATAAAATTATAATACTGGTGTTTGGCCGACTTAGTTCAGTCAGTATAGTGACTGGCCACGGACTGGATGACGGGTTAGATCCCCGACGGGGGCAAAGGATTTTTCCTCAAGCCTCTGCGTCCAGACCGGTCCTGGGCCTCACCCAGCCTCCCATCCAGTACGAGATGTTTCATAAGCAAAACTCGGCAGCAATTTCTCACCAAAGTCTCCTGATTTACTGATTGGCAGTCAAATCAGGATTGGGTAGAAATTATGCAGAGTCACTGGGCTTCTCACTCACTACTCACAAATGCACGCTTCAGAAGACCAAGAATCCTCCTAAGTGGGGAGGTCATGGCCCGAAAACAGGCCGAAGCATCATAGATGATGAGTGAGCTGCATTAGATGGTTAATAGATCTAAGTTCTATTTCTGGAGACTCACCTCAGCCTCTCTTATTTAACTGTATGTTGTAGTTTGCTCAGGATGTGTAGCACACCCCATAAGGAGGGTAGTTGCAAATATGTTGAATATGAAGTTGTTGACAAGGGATGATAAACCAGCTTGGGGTGGTTAAAACTCATGATAGAGCTATCATATAACAAAGTATTACTGTGATGGATTTTTTGTGCTTAGGTGTACAGGTTGTATATGAAATATTGTCGCAAAATTAAAGAGTAATAACTCATAGGTTGATTAAAATAATTTTTGTTCTGATTGCTGTCACAAATTCAGATTTTCACATATCTACAAGAACAAAGTCCCTTCTTTTTGGTTCCTCATTGTCTCACACTGCCCAATATAAGATTCTTGCGAGGTTCTTTGTGGATGGTCAAGTGTGGTACCTACAGTTTCCGTGATGCACGGTGAATTGGTTTTTCAATGGCTGCATTAGAAAGTTTCCCTTGTTGCTCGGACTCTGACTTTGGATACGCATGGTCGTCCCAGTCATGACGCCTTCAGTGCACTGCCTGTTTTGATAAACCCATAATACCACTGTTTAACGTCATTTTTGAAGGTGCATCTCATTTGCTGTATCCTCTCCTGAAGTTTCATTGTGCCTGCATCGATTTGATTATTAAACCACTCCACACAACGTGCTTTCTCCTTTACTGCTGCCATTTTCATAGACGTGAACAACAGTGCTTGCACACGACATTTAGCACCAACAGAAGAAAACTCTGACCTTCTTCAAGTTTGTGACAGCAGTCAGAATAAAAATATGTTAATCATTTTACAAGTTATTGATGTTTAATCTTGTGACGATATTTTATGTACATCCTGTAGATTGGATGAGAAAACTGAAATAGATCTTAAAGAAATAGGATGTGGACTGGATTCAGCTTGCTTAGGATAGGATCCAGTGGCAGGTTCTTGTGAACACATAAATGAATCAGCGTTCCATAAAATGAGAGTAATGTCTTCACAACGTAAATGTCCGTCATCTTCTCGAGGACTTCGCTTCTTGGAGTTCGTATGCTAGCTTCCCAGTATCTTCACACTGCAAACTGACACATGCACTTTGAGAAATAAGTGTATTAGAGTAGACTTTATCAGCATAGATGAAACTCATCTGGCTTTCTCAAAATATTTGGTTTATAGCAGTGGTGTTCATTTTTGTCAGGCACCCCTGTTTATCTCATTCTTCATGGGGCTGAGGGGCATGGCAAATGTACCAGTGGAAAGCATGAGGACAGGAGGGCTCTTCTGGTTCTCAGACCTAACTGTGCCAGACCAATACTACCTGATGCCTATCATCACAAGTTTCACAATGTGGATCACGATTGAAGTTGGAACAGATACGGCAAAACTCTCGGCAGCAAATTTACAAACTATGAAATACGTTCTGCGTGCCATGCCAGTTTTCATCTTGCCGTTCACGGTCGGCTTTCCCGGGGTAAGTGAAACATTCCCACTAAATAATATGAACCCCTCCAGACAAGTGCTGTTAACATATTCATTATGAAAACGGAGCTTCCTGCTTCTGCGTCTCTTGCTGTATCAGTAAATAGCTTTTCATTTTATAGCTTGCTTATGGTATTTCAGACATTAGTATTTGATGGATTCATAAAAATGTGACATATTACAGTTGACATAAAATATCATCTAAACTTAAAGCATGAAGCAAGAAAAAGGAAATTTAGAACAGACAAAAATTAATAAAATCCGATGTCCTAATGTCCTAATGATGTAGGTCTCATGAGTAGTCGTAGCACCTAAATGCGCGATGTGTAAGCCGAGAGAGGGGAGTTCGGTAGTAGTGGGGGTCGCACAGCTTCAGCTGCGATGCCCCGATCTGAACACAGAGCTAGAAACCATCTGAAGCGCGTGCTTCAGACGGGTCGATCTCACACGACCAAAATCAGCCCTTTGCGAAAGTTCCAGCACTTCTCGCGCGACCTATATAGTCTTGTATTCACAAAGGAGGCTCTGCCAACCAAGTTACTGCAGTAGCACTGTTTAGTGGAGAAAATTCCATGACCTAATTTCAGAAGACAATTACTTCATCACTACTGAGTTAAATTTCTTTTAAATTAACCTGTTTAAGTGTTAGATGTGATTGGTCAAAAATAAAAAGGCTTCATTGTTTGGGGCTCGCGTTTGAAACTGTGTTCGGCCCAGGATTGTGTAGAGGACCTTTATTCCTTGTCACTGTGCAGGCAATACTGATGTACTGGGTATCGACAAACTTCATATCACTTGTGCAAGTGGGCTTCCTTAGAATCCCTGCCGTGAGAGAATTCTTCAAGATTGAGAAGATGGTGACTCACACTCCTGATTCATTGCCTGTCAAGCCAAAAGGCTTTGTTAAAGGACTTCAAGAGTGTAAGTATCAGTCTTGGATACGTCAGAAACATTTTTCTCTCCTTAGTAGACGATAAATAGGTTATGTAATTCAGAGCAGAATCACAAAGATCTTGTAATTTTTCATCTAAAAATGTTATCTACTTAAGAAAATAGCTTTTTAATTAAATTCTGAAGAGAACGTAAACATAGAGAGATTGATAATATTAAAATGGGCCTTAGAAAAATAGGTTGTGAAGACATGTATTATTGACTTACAGGTCTACAGGTTCTAAATGAAAATTTATTGATAATGCAAACACCTTCACATACTATTCACTAATTTTCTTCAACAAATCTATTGATTTTTTATTTATTACTCGTTTGCTTGAAATTAAGTATTTAATTTCAACAGCAACTCTTAATTATAGTGATACAATATTTAAAAATGTATATGGAAACAAGTGGCCTGTGGATTGAGAATTCCTGTTATATAACAATAATGAATTATGATTAGAAGCAAACTATATAGATCAGGGGTCGTCAACCTTTTTATACCTACCGCCCACTTTTGTGTCTTTGTTGATGGTAAAATTTCCCTACCGCCCACCCGTGTGGCTCGTACTGCCCACCACCATGATAGACGTACAGCTCGAAGACTGAGTGATGGCCGGCGGTAAGCCCCGCCCTCGTTATGCGCACTAAACTCGTGCCTTTGGCTACGGAGCTCATTCGTTGCTCCCTCGTCCACGAGTATACTTCGAGAAGTGTCCGGTGAATTATTATCTATATCCAAATTTTAGAGATTGAATTCAAAAGTAAATTGCAAAAGCATATTTTAAAAAGTCAAACTCGAGACGTTGTTGGCAAAGTATTCGATATATGGAGGAAGAACGAAATTTTTAACAACGGACAAAAAACCCCACCGCCTACCATGAAAGCTCGAATCGCCCACTAGTGGGCAGTAGGGATCAGGTTGACGAACCCTGATATAGATGAACTGTTAACAGTGGGTTCATGAAACAGTGGACTGACTGAGTTTTATTATTTAATACAGAATCAAGTTTTCATGGATTAAACTGCCTAAATTCTGACCCAGGTCCGTATTTGAGTTGTGCACCTCTGATCAAGGTTCCTTTTTTCCCCTGATAAGTGTTTCTTGCTTTCTCAGCTGTTAACTATTTACACTTTCACCTTGTGTGGTTTTGATTATGTGAAATATATTTAATATATATATATTCTTTTAGCTTGGACCAATATGAAAATTACAAAGGAACTGGAAGACAGGCACAGATATGACGAATTACAGTTCCAAAGAGCGGGAAGAGGCCCGATTCAAAAGACGTACAAATATGACCCAACCCAACCAAGAAGCATAAACAGCACTGGCAAAGATGCAATCGCTGCCAAGAAGAGTGACAGATAGGCATATGTACAGTCCGTTACCATGTGCTGTTGTAGCTGCTGGAGCATATGACAGTATTATATAGCTTTTCTAATATCCTTAAACAGAATGTATGTCGTCCGAACAAGAAATGATTGTAAATGGTGGTACTGTATCTAATTCTTACGTAGTTGTACATAAACAAATACATAATCTACATATCAGTGATTAGAAATGCATTGATTTATAACTTCAATGAGGTGAGAATTTTCAGTTGCGGCTGCAACACGCTCTTTGTCTGCAAGCTGCTTATTCACCGCATCTTCGGAGTTATGGGTCCCAGGAGTAATCGCTACGCTAACTTTGAATCTCGAAGGAAGCGATCTCAGCAGTTGCACCCGGATTGACAGGCCAATCAGCGTAGCCATGCTGCAGTGTGGAATTGTTGGGGTAAATTTGACATTTACTTCGTTGTTCGCGTTGTCCACCTGAAAGCAATAAAAAATTACATCTCCTACCTAAAAGAGAACGGAGCTGGGGTAGCTCAGTTAATATTAACTATGGGCTGGAAAACTGAGGTTTGATCCCTGGCAGGGTAAAGGAGTTTTCTTCTAGACTCTGTGGCCAACCCGGCAGGTACCAGGGGTCCTTTTCTGTGTGATAAAGTGCAGCCATCTAGTACCACGGTCAAAAAAGAGTAGGAACTATACCGCCTCCCTCGAAGCGTCTCCATGTCCTGTAGTTTCATAGTTTTACTTACCTAAAACAAAAGTAAAGGTTTGAAATGTCACATATGCCATAAATGGTGAAGTTAGCCCTGTGCCAAGCATGACATTAAATTGTATGCGGCTTTCTACATTCTTGACATAAAATGCTAGATGCAGGTGGTTAATCAGGTTTGTGCTTTGGTCACTTAACATCTGGAAAAGAATGAACTGTCCTCAGGACAGTAGTAGTGGTACTAAAGAAGAAAACTCCCAGGTTTCAGTAGAAAAATCCTGGCTATCCAGTCTACAGTACCTCGACTTACCTCAATAAGACTTTGTTCCACAACATTCAGTTCTTCTAATGTTAACGGGTGCTCAGGATCATTAATACTTCTTATCAGATCTTCCAACAGTGTTAAGGACTATCTAAATTCTAAGTGTCCAATTAGAGTATGTGCCATCCGAAACAAAGACGAGGTGGTAAGAGCAAGTAAGGTTTAAAAATAATTATATAACACTACACAATATAGTATTAGTATAATTGCATAATTTACAGTGCTGTAAAATATGTAACTGAAAACTACAAAATAGTTATTAAAAGTAACTCTGTGGACCATAGAAATGTAGAATTGTCTAAACAAAATAAAATGTTCAATAAATGTAGAACTAATTCAGTGGTATGTATAACCAATAATATAATCATCAGTTATAATAGAATAAAGTGAACAAACAATGTATTCAAAGGATACCGAAAACTTCTCTGGAATCAAACGGATCCACAACACTGTCATCTTCTTCGTCTGGAGTAATTTCTCGTTCTTCGCATTTTCTATACAGTTTAGGATTTATATTTTCAAGCAGCTCCATTCTCCCAGTTTCTTATATCCTCTATCAATGAACAGGATTACCAATAGCAACAAGAGCTCCTGTTGTTAAGGTCTAATATTATAGTTTACATAAGTGGGTTTTGTGTAGTACTAATGATGTAACTTGGCCTGCAAACAAATATAAACTATTGACTTTTCGTTTACCTCTAACAGTACTAGCAAAGGCTAATTTCATACTGCTATCAATACCCGTAATATAGTTGACAGGTAATAAACAGCTAGAGATTTAGGTGACGCAGGGATTGTCTAACCTGGAAGGAATGAATTTAGTGCTTCTAGTGGTAGTAGTTGGTATTGGAAGTTGGTGGGCCACGGTTGCCCACTTGTCTATGGACTTGTGGTGGGAAATCAACACCGTTTTAACAGTTGGTATTGAAAGTGCCTACTGGACGAAACAGATTGCTTTAGCAACAGAAATGATTTTCACCGGAAAAAACATTCTCACTTGGGTTGGTGGTCTCTGAAAATTTTGGATATTCAATTCTTTTTGCAAACCACGATCATTCCTAATGTAGCCTGATAGTGTTTCGTCATCGTTCATAATATTCAGACCACGAACCAAAGTTTAGTTAAGACAGATGTTTCCACATATTATAAGTGTTGTTGTAAAGAAGCTACTCGTATTTCTTTCTACTCGAAACAGTGTTGTCAAGATATACGAGCAACAAAATGGAGATACATAAACGAAGCACACGACATATGGAGACATCCGTCCAGCTTTGTACCATGTGGCCAGCAAACAAGTCCGCACCTTTAGGTAAGTACAACATAAACTGTTTCCTAAAACGTGTAATGGATTTTCTTTAACTTTCTGCATATAGGGTTTTCGATTAAAAATAAGTAATAAGTTTTACAGCAATGGAAAGTTTGGGAACCACTGATAGACCAATGTACGCACTGGCCACCATACATTGCATCAGTTGAATCTTTCTTGCGTTGCTATTATCCAGATAATGACCCAAAGATTCCATGACTGTATAACGTTGACCAATACTTTTCTTCAACCAGTTATGCTGTGAGTTAAGGCATTTTTTTTTTGTTATTGTGGGTAAACAAATCAAAATTTGATTCATGAGGAAATTAAGAGCAGATTTAATTCTTTTAAAGCTTGCTACCATTCCGTTCAGAACCTTTGTCTTATCATACGCTGTTTAAAAACGTAAACAATTACAAAACTATAATTTTGCCTGTAGTTGTGTGTGGATGTGAAACTTGGTGTCATGACTCTTAAACGAGGAACATAAGTGAGGAGAATAATATTAAAATGGGTTTTAAAGAAATAGGATGGGTTGGTATGGATTTATCGCGCTCCGGACAGGGACTCTTGCGAATAAGGTAATTAAACATCGGATTCCATAAAATGTTGGGAATTTCATGAGTGGCTGGGCGACTGTTGGCTTCTCAGGAAGTATTCCTTCCTAGTAGCTGCGCCTTGGAAAGTAGCAGACAGGAGCGCCGCGCTGTGAGTGGATTTGTAATTGAATAGTAGGAAGGAATTGAATGTATACGTCATTTTTGTATGAATTACTCAGTGCCAGGCCGATAATGGCTCCAACACGTTGTCGTTCCATCAATTTGGATCCGTAGTTGTAACTTACGAAGGCCGAGTATGTACAGTGAATACGTAACATTTGTTACTTTATTTCTAGGTTGTTTGACCGGATTCAAAGTAGCTTTCTTGTCCGATTCTCTCACAAGTCTTTTTGGCATAATAAAAATGTTTCTCTGGCAGAAATAATTATGAAATAAATTAATATATTTAATTCGTGAAGACAAGAATGACGAAGTTGGAAAGTTTATTTTTCTGTGATTTGCAGTTGTTGTTTTTTTTTTTTTTGCGTGGATTAATACATAGTTATTGTCAGGTTAATTTGTTTTAAATAGCTCTCCGGGATTATGGAGTGCCACAATTAGATCGCTACATAAAGGCGAGACACTTGTATGGATCATAAAGGACGATAAAATGTTTTTAGAAATTAAACCATTAATGTGAGACTTCCTTTCATTTTAAACCCGCGTTCAGTCCAGCTGTACCGGTGAGTGACGTCGCACATAAGGGGAACAGGACAGAAAAGGGGAGATGTTGTCGCTAATTTCCGCTCTGTGCGTGGCGTATCAAAACATCAGCTACTGTTCACCTGGCGTAGGCAGCCACCGGCTAGTCATCGCTTTTTAACACGACTGTTGTATGTTTGATGCGTAAAATATCAAGGTTTTTGCTTTTTAAACGATGGAAAGTCAATATTTTTTTAGTTGAAAATAGCTGTCTTCTGGGTTGTTGCGCTGTGTAGTCTGGTCTATGTTTACCAACGTTTCAGAGGTCATACTGCCTCCATCCTCAGGGCGATGAAGATTTCTGTCTTCTGAGTTGTTGCGCTGTGTAGTCTGGTCTATGTTTACCAACGTTTCAGAGGTCATACTGCCTCCATCCTCAGGGCGATGAAGATTTCTGTCTTCTGAGTTGTTGCGCTGTGTAGTCTGGTCTATGTTTACCAACGTTTCAGAGGTCATACTGCCTCCATCCTCAGGGCGATGAAGATTTCTGTCTTCTGAGTTGTTGCGCTGTGTAGTCTGGTCTATGTTTACCAACGTTTCAGAGGTCATACTGCCTCCATCCTCAGGGCGATGAAGATTTCTGTCTTCTGAGTTGTTGCGCTGTGTAGTCTGGTCTATGTTTACCAACGTTTCAGAGGTCATACTGCCTCCATCCTCAGGGCGATGAAGATTTCTGTCTTCTGAGTTGTTGCGCTGTGTAGTCTGGTCTATGTTTACCAACGTTTCAGAGGTCATACAGCCTCCATCATCAGGGCGATGAGTATGAAGATTTCAGTCTTCTGGGTTGTTGCGCCGTGTAGTCTGACTCACCCTGTATAATTTTTACATCTGAAGGAGCGTCGATAAATTACATAACAAAAACCAGAGATTGTAAAAACCTCTGTAGTTTAGAGAAGGCCTTGGCTCTGGTTCTAGCGAACGATCGGAGAGCTTGAAAAAGTAAAGACAGAAGACAGGCGAGAATGCGTATCATTTGTAAGTTTGAGTGGATGGCTGTTTGGGGGGGAGGGGAGGGTCACTCGGCAACTAATCAACTCGTAGGGATTTTATCAGACTTTCCGGAAGAGACTGGCTAGCAGGTGGGAATTTACTTCATGTAAGATTAATAGTCGGTTCGATGGATTGACGAATTGAGTAATCAGAGACGTATCGGCGGTGTCAAAATGAGGGAAGGCAGAAAGAAAGAAAAATAAAACGGGAGAGAGAGAGAGAGAGAGAGAGAATGGATAAAATGAGTTAGAGAGAGGTGAAGTGTCGTCAATCCTTTGTACAGATTGGAAGAACAGTTATGAGACTCAGATTGCATGTCGGTGAGAGCCGAAACCTTGAATGCCAGAACGGCAAATCATCGCAATACAACTTCAGTCTGTCCACTCACTGCCTTGGATCGGGACCGGGGGATGAAATACCACAGAGCACAGTCGTAATCCGAACTCTAGTTCAGGAGGTCATGCCACTATCTGAAAGTCATTATCTCAAAACAGTGTCGTCAAGGAAAATGTAAACAACGGAATATTAATCTCGGTACTGACATTTTCCCCACATACTAAAAATGTACGCCACGGTGGTCTAGCGGTTAGCTGGCCTTGTAATCCTGGGGGTCTCGGGTTCGATTCCCGGCGGTGCCCGGATTTATAACTTGTGTTGGGCAAGGCCGCGGTCTAGGCAACACGGAGTTTTCCTCCGTGGCATCCCAACAATTACTCCATTCACACACAGAAGAAGGCAATGGCAAACCACTTCTGGATCATCTGCCAAGAACGTATATGAACAGGTCCCAGTCCGAGAAAAGGATGGAAGGATCCTGTTCATATGGACCTGTCGTCAGACAGAACACTAATAATAAAAAAACTAAAAATGTGTGTCTTTATCGGTACGTGTTCTTAAATTTGTCAAAATCCTTACATCCAGAGCAGAGTTACTAATGTTGCTGCAGATTTTTTCTGTCTGAACTGTACCAAGCAACATCTGTCTGGCGATACAAGTGTTTATATCAGAATCGTTGAATCCCTTTGAATTAGCTCCTCGGTAACACAAACATCCACCACGGTTACTAACAGACTGTCAGACGTGACAAGAACTTTGCACCGAAACTAATGCATACATTTTGAAGAAAAAAAATGTTAAATTTAGTAAACTCGTTTAAACGTTGATATTTTAAGAGTTCACAACAATAAAAACAAAATAATTATTTTCTTATTCACATGCAGCCAACAACGCTATATTTTTTTAAAAAAATATCTTTGTTAAAAAAGTTCTTAAGATAGTGTAGTTGCGTCATATTGTGATTTATTAAATTAAAATTAAATTATTTGGTTATTCCGTCAAATCACAATGTATTTAAAATAAGATAATTAAAATAATTAAAATATCATTCTGTGTTCCATATCGACATAAACACAGAATTATATTTTAATTATTTTAATTATCTTATTTTAAATACATTGTGATTTGACGGAATAACCAAATAATTTAATTTTAATTTAATAAATCACAATATGACGCAACTACACTATCTTAAGAACTTTTTTAACAAAGATATTTTTTTAAAAAAATATAGCGTTGTTGGCTGCATGTGAATAAGAAAATAATTATTTTGTTTTTATTGTTGTGAACTCTTAAAATATCAACGTTTAAACGAGTTTACTAAATTTAACATTTTTTTTCTTCAAAATGTATGCATTAGTTTCGGTGCAAAGTTCTTGTCACGTCTGACAGTCTGTTAGTAACCGTGGTGGATGTTTGTGTTACCGAGGGGGAGAAGGTGGTGAGAAAAGGAAAATATAAAAAAGCATAAGAATAAGAAATGAGAAGCTGTCGACATGGCAACGCCGACTGGGCGGGCAGCCACTAGCGTGTGGCATGTAGTCTGAGCGTTCAGCCCTCAGTCGGGCGAGAGAAGTCGTGGCGTCGTGTCGTCTGCTCCGCGGTGTTTCGGTGTGCTGCTGTTGCCTTCTTGAGAGCGATGTAGTGTCATGTGTGGGGCGAGCTGCTGGAGTGAGATGGTTGTGGTACAACCGACGCTGCTACGTAATCAATAACGCTCCAGAGCAAGCATCATCAACATTCCCGGACCCAGCCAGGAGTAGGCCCGCGGACCCTCGTGGCTAGTAGCCGGTCGGTCGTCTCTTCTCGAACTAAACACATCCGACAGTAACATCGACTAACTTCCGACTGGTTCAGGTAGGTTTATTTGTGTCCCTGAGTAATGAAGCCAA